GTCGAGAATGGCTTTACGAGTACTGACATCACTCACATTGTAAGATGTATTGCGCATTCTATGCCCACCAAAGTGTTACATATATATCTTGATGCAAATAAATATACAGTTAAAGATACAAAGAGAGAGAGACATATATATATATATATATATATATATATATATATATATATAATATAAAGAGAGAAAGACACATATATATATATTATATATATATATATATATATATATATATAATATATATATATATATATATATATATATATATATATAGTCGCACAACGAGTATAAAGAAAGGGAGCTGACTTAAAGCTTGCTCTGGTTCTTGGTTTTTAGCCCAATCGGCAACGAGAAGGCGGCTCCGACTGACTACATTCGCCACATATGTATGCCTCGATCTAAACTTTGGCGCGCGCGGCGGTAAGTGGCACCGTCACCGCCCAGTCAGGCGTAACTGCAGTCTCAGCGCTTCTGTCGCACCACGTGGTGCAGCACCATGTTACTAGTGTGGTGATAGGCGTTGCGACTCGCACATATTTCGTCAACATTTCATCCTGTCGTCCAAATGGTTCTTGACGATATAGCGTTGCATACAGTGAAGGAAGTTTGCCTTGGTCAGTTAATAAAGCTACCGCAACCGCGCCTCCGCCCAGTCCTGCGACAAATACGAACACGTTAGTGCAAAGCTCCGAGCACTTACTATGGCTAATGAATGTCGCCGGCGCTCCACAAAAGGGATAGAGTGACGACGTACGTCGCGTCCCCTTTACTGATTCATCGACTGCTGATATGGTTTACAATACATTTAAGAGTCAAAACACAGCTATACGGTGCGATATGAGGACAACCCAAGGTGAAGTTGACAAAACAGGCATCTCATGGCAAGCCGTGAAAATTTACCGGCCAACATTCAAACAACGAGCTGCGCTGAGTCTTGAGTTTGTTATCACTGTGCCTTCTTTTGCGTACTGGAATTCAGCCGTGTTGTCATCATCGTCATCGTCAGATTTCGGTCCAGTGCCGCGAAATAATGTTTTAGTCCACTTTGTGCATCTTAAAATTCGCCAACGGTCGAATACCCGCTTTTACAGCCCTTTTCGCTAACATGGATTGTTCCGGGAGGAATCGCCTACACCTGTATATGCCACGATCTACCTTTATATCTGTTCTCAGATGATCATTTCAATATTCAGCCGCAACTTGGTTGACTTGAGCATGGGGGGCAAACCACAGGCTTTCGGTTGAGACCTCGCTATTCTGTATCAGTTCCACGTAGTTTGTGGTCGGAGTCCGAGTGTTACCACTGGGGGACAAAGAGATGTGCCCCAGAGTTCTCTAACTGGAATTTTGACCCCCCTCAATTTTAACCGTCAAATGCACGTTTTGTCATGCTTTCTTATTCAAATTAACATTTTTCGGGTGAGGTTTCCAGACTTCAGTTGATCCCAATCCTAGTTCGTGCCTCCAACCTCAGAGACGTGATCACACTCATAGTCTGCAAACATACTGCATTTTGGCATAGATTGACACCAGCGTACCTAATGCAATTCATGAATAACAATCTGACAAGTTGAACTCGAGGCCATTAACACCCCATGACATAAATGGTTGGCTTAGCAATGAAAACTGCACTCATCCATTCTCAACGTTTTCCTCATTCACAACGGCTTAAATTGCGCGCGACACAGCAGGAATTCAACGTCACTGAGCCGAAAGTCTCGCACCTCTAACGACACAGCAGGCCAGCAGCGGTTCATGACCCGGCCCCTACCCGGCGGTCGGAATCCCATTAGCGACACGTAACCCAGCCGTCAGCGATATTGGCATGCATAGGGCTGGCGCCGGGGCCGTGAGGGCGTCGGCAGCGTAATGGATGCGTGTCCGACAGCGCCGGCGGGGCCGCGGCCTGTCGCCGGGCGCAACCGATGCGTCGCGGCCCACGAGGGTGTCGGCCCGGTCGCGATCAGCATGCAGCGACGCGCCCGTCGCGTGGGCATAGAGCGGCGCTGGTGTCACGCGCCGTCACACGGCGGCCGGCACAGCGCCACTAATGCCGCTGTGGCGTGTCAGGCGGCACACGTATGCCGCGCCGTCTGTTCAGCCGCGGCGCACAGCCCTCGCCGCGTCAGATTCGTCCCGGGCGATCAGAGCGGCATTCGGGGCATGTGTAACGACGGTCCGGCGAGTATGAGCTGGATGCTTCACAACCGTGTGCTGTTTGCTCCAAGTAATCGGGGCTGCTGATCAGTCTGAACTAACCAGAGGTTTGCTGTTAGAAAACTGAATCCGCTATTAAAAGCCTTTTCCAAATATACACAGGCTTTGTCGCTGTCATTCCGCGAGTAGCTACAAGGGACCTGCCAGCCGTGACGGGCCGGCCGCCCGTCGTGGCGGCGTTCTTCCTGGTCCGGAACTGCGGACACATCTGCCGGGGTCCACAAGCATGTGGGCGGTAGGCAGTCAACGGCATCAACGGCTTCGGGCCACTCGCTAATGAGGCCAGATTGACACTCTAACCACCGGCTACAACTCTAACCGCCGGAATACTGGTGTCTTGAACTCTAACCGACTGAACACCGGTGTCCACAGCTCTAACCACCGGAACACTGGTGCCTGCAACTCTTATCACCGGTGACAGGCACCCGGGGTCTCGGAACGCCTGCGAGTACCATGCGCATGTGACGGCCAGCGGTCGAGTCCTGTGCTAGTGCGGCTGCCCCCGGAGCAGAGGGGGATGCCGTGGCGGCGACGGAGGCCGTCCGGCGGCCGCGCGGGCGGCTGTGGCGGCCAGGCGGCCGCTGCCGAGGCCCCACAGAGAGGCACCGAGAGCGTGCCTGCTCCAGCCCACCCTCCCCGTCCCGTGACACGGGCGGCGGGGCCTTCAGACACCACGCCCGGGGGCGACGCTCCCCCACAGCGCGCCCGCATAGGTGCTCTCGGACACCGCACCCCGGGGGCCCTTTCCGACAGGGCACCGGCGGAGACAGCGCCGGTGCGCATGACCCTTGTCGAGCAGCGGGCGCCAGGGCAAGGGCAGATCGAGGGAAAACACCGGTACAGATGGCCCTCGTCGAGTAGCGGACACCAGGGAAGGGGCAGATCGAGGGACAGCGCCGGTATAGATGCCATCGCCGAGAAGTGAGCACCAGGGGAGGGGCAGATCGGGGGGCAGCGCCGGTACAGATGCCATCGCCGAGAAGTGAGCACCAGAGGAGGGGCAGATCGAGGGGCAGCGCCGGTGCAGATGGCACTCGCCGGGCAGCGGGCGCCAGGGGAGGGGCAGATCGAGGGGCAGCGCCGGTGCAGATGGCACTCGCCGGGCAGCGGGCGCCAGGGGAGGGGCAGATCGAGGCGTCATCGATCGCGCTCTGGTAACAGCCGCCGCGCAGACGGGTACAACGTCGGGCGGCAGCCGGACAACCAGACACGGCCGCCACTCCGGCAGCAGCAGCCACCAGCAGCGCCAACCAGCTAGTGGCCCCGGGCGGCTCACCGGGTCTTTCTGTAGCTGCTTTCGCGGTCTCGGGCGGCCGTGAGGCGAGCCCGGTGGCACCAACAGCCAGCTGGGAGCATCCAAGGTCAACAGCTGAGTAGCACTTCCAGACGCTTCTGGCATTACATGAATGCACCTTGCACCTGTCAACGGTTTCCGACCGCGGCTCCCAGCCCTCTACCCCCACCCCACCCCCACCCCCTCCGCACCCACCCCGGAGGCTGCCAGACGCCGAGATGCCAGGGATCAACGCTCACTTCCGGCGCCTCCCAACCGCTTTACGTGGACTCCGGCAGTCTACGCTGCGATGCCTAATATCGACCTGAGGTCATAGCCGCGCGCGCGCAGCGATGGCGGCGGGGAGGGGGCGGCGCCGCCTCCCAGCCGGCCGCCCGCGTAGTGCTTCTCGCCTGCGTCGGTCGGCGTCGGCGGCACACCAAAGGCCCGGCCCGGCGCGCGGTCACCCGTACTTCGCACTATTGGGAGTCCGCTTACGCTCGGAGCAGCGTTGGCTGGGGGGGGCTTTTTTTTCACAGGGACAGCCAGGGATATGGGCCGCTCACAAGAGCTGGATGAGTGAGAGTGAGAGAGCTGGGGAAATGAAGCGGAAGGTGGGTGGGGCGACGGGATACTGGGGCTGGGGGAGACCGAGGCGGGCAATGCAAGGGACGGTGGGGCCGAGGGGTCGATGGAGATATGGACCCAGGCAAAGAGCGGCGGAGATGGAGGACAGAACGCACGGAAACAGAGACATATGCACGGGAAGAGGAGCAAATGGACGGCGAGGCACGATGGTGGAAGATCAAACGAGCTGAAATACCTGATAATGAATCATATGGATAATGAATACATAACTGATGGGCACAGCGGGCAACGGGCAGAAGACGGCGAGAAAATAGCACAGGCTGGCAGGTAGATGCTAGCAAAAAGAGACGTACGCCGGGTCCCCATTTCACTCTGTATGCATGAGTCCGGTATCAAGGACCAATCGTGTCGCCCATTGATGCAGCACGCGACGCCGATGCATGCAGTCAGTCCAAATATGCAACACTGGCAACCCAGTGTGACCCAGCGTACAGCGCTCCACAACAGTGCAGGTACACTAACGCGTCCAGATATCACATTATTCGTGCTATTCCAACCATGTCGTGTCACTGGCCCACCACAGATTCGGTGTCTGTAATGCTGTCTTCAGCTGCTACCAAGCTCAGGGTCAACGATGCGCCGGTCTGACCGGGCCAGTTTGGCCCCAGCGCGCACCACTCTCTGTCTGACGAGGTCTACGCGAGGTCAGACTCCCGTGTCGGGCCGGTGGCAGGTCAGTGTCGGTTCCGGCCGCCGCGCCGCGTGACCGGCCCGCCGGCGCCGCGTGACCGGCTCACCGACCAGGGCCGTGCCGTGCACCACAGGTGGCCCGACCCCGACCGTTCATAATGGCACGCCATGGGTGCGCCATTGTCACGCCGCACGCCCGCTCCGGCAGCTCGGTAGGCGGCGCAGCTGCGCC